CCATCCATCTATCTATCCATCTATCCATCCATCTATCCATCCATCCATCCATCTATCCATCCATCTATCTATCTATCCATCCATCTATCCATATCTATCCATCCATCTATCTATCCATCCATCCATCTATCCATCTATCTATCCATCCATCTATCTATCCATCCATCTATTTATCTATCTATCTATAATAATAATAATAATAATAACTTGAATTTATATAGCGCCTTTCATAACCTCAAGGTCGCTTTACAAAGGAACATATAAGGACAAGACATAAAACAGAGGGCAGAAATGGAAGTGTAACATTGCAGGGGGGGGGGGGAGTGAGTTAATGTTGGAAGGCGATGTTGAACAGATGAGTTTTCAGGGTTGATTTGAAGATGTTGAGAGAAGGGGCGTTACGGATTTCTGCAGGGAGGGAGTTCCAGAGGGTGGGGGGGGGGGGGGCAGCGACACTGAAGGCACGGTCCCCGAAGGTGCGGAGGCGTGAAGGTGGAATGGAGAGCAGGCCGGAGTCTGAGGATGGAAGGGTGCGGGACGGGGGGTGGAGGAGATCTGTGAGGGACTGAGGGGAGGGGGCACGGAGGGACTTGTAGGTGAGGAGGAGGAGTTTGTATGTGATGCACTTGACCGGGAGCCAGTGGAGGTGGAAGAGAGTGGGGGTGATGTGCTGCCAGGGCTCGGTGCGTGTGAGGACCCTGGCAGCTGAGTTCTGTATGTACTGGAGCCGGTCCAGGGTTCTGCTGGGAGCCCCGGACAGGAGTCCAGGCGTGAGGTAATAAAACAAAGAATGATCGTCTCTGCAACAGAGTCGGAGAGTGATGGCCGGAGTCTGGATATGTTTCTGAGCTGGAAGATGTGGTTTTGAAGTGAGAGGGTTGAATCCAAGACAACACCGAGGTTGCGGACCTGAGGGGATGGGGAGATGATGGAACCGTCGATGTTGAGGAGCAGATCTCCAAGCTTCCCGAGCCGTGCCTTGGGGGCCACAGCCATGAGCTCAGTTGTATCACTGTTTACTTTGAGTAGCTCGGTGGTCGTCCAGGTTTTCATTCCGTGTAGGCAGTGGATTAGTGACTGAGGGGGAGATGGGCAGAGGGTTTTGTGCTGTTGGGTGTCGTCGGCGTGGCAGTGGAAACAGAGACCATGGCTGCGGATGATATCACCAATCAGAAGGATGTATATCCATCCCCTCCGTTCAGCAGCTCGCTGTTAGACTGAGGGCACTCTGATATTCCTGTTTTCTTCCTTGTTAACATGACATGTATTTTCTCTCCCAAACGAACCACTGACTGTTCTTCCTGGTTGCAGACTAAGGAGGCGGGGGCTGATGACACCCTGGACGTGTCGGCCTGTGAGCTCTCAGAGGTGAGTGTGTTCACTGATCACGGTTTGTGACTATATTCATGCTACAATACATGTCTCTTTGTCAAACCCAGTTCACACCATTAAATGACCTTTTAAATGAATAGTTCAACACTTTTTTTGTTTTGATATCCTTTTCCCATTATCACGGGAACATGAAAATGCAACTCCAATATAAATTGTTCAATCAGCCCTTCATTTCGTATGCAAAAGAGGAACACCATACTATGCAATGTGCGTTGTGTACCAGTACTTATATTTTGGTGCTTGTTATTCACTTTTTTCTTTCTTATGTGAATGGAAGCTTAGTGTATTTCAGTGAATATCTATTAATGATACACCTTAAATTGTAGCAGATGTCTTCATGAGTGAAGCTGCGTTATTTACCAATACTTCAGTACTGATAGTGATTTGGGTTCTCTTGTGTTAATGTTGACTTTTAGGCTTTAACCTTTTATTATCTGCCATTACTGTAGACAGCTGTTTGTACAACTGAGTGTGTTAGTCCTGCCGCTCATCACTGCTCTGTCTGTCACAGGTTCCCTCGGCGGCCTTTTCCATTTGCAAGGTGCTACAGAAGAAGGTAAGAACCCAACATGGAGACATATTGTATTTATTTTCTATTCTACCGATGTATTAAATAGTTCACCCCCATCATGTGAACCAGGACCCTGTGTCAGTCTCACCAGTCACACATGTTGCTCTCCTCAGGTCCTGATCCTCCACAACAACGAGCTGAGCTCCCTGCTGCCCAAAGGATGTGACATCAGCACTCTCGCCACTTTAAAGGTGAAGTCAACGGGATGCAAGCATGATGGGAAATATGGCTAGATAAAGGAATAGTGTATCTACTGTTTGTAAACTTGTTGAGCTGTAATATAACATTGATGCCACCAAACAAAGTCATGCAGCTACAGTAGCACATACTGTAGCACCGCTGGTCTATTACAGATAATAGAACTCCGATTAGAAATACGCAGATCCATATAAAGCATTTGCTTCTACTTTGATTTCATTGGGCCAAAAACTCAAACCCCGTTTCTTTCACTATGGGACAGAAATGCAATTCCCCAGCATAATGTTTACAACTGTTTCATCACTGTTTCATTCGTTTGGTAAATAATATAATGAGACAGGAAATAGGCAACGATCGATTCCATGTTGTACATTCAAGTACTAAACCAACAAAAACTGCATGATGGGAGATATAAGTACCAGCTGAAGCATACTACAGTGTGAGAGGTTTCATAACCAGTTAGACGGTGGTGGTGGTTCTCCTTCTATCGCTCATCTCCAACACAAAGCTGTGTGACGCTGAGCTTTCTGTGAAAAAGCCGAGAGTAAACACACACAAGCTACTCCTTCTGTTTTAACCTCTGAGCAAACTAGTCTTAACTCTGACCCTGCTTCATCACAACAAAAGCCTGACTGAATCTGTCTTCCTCCAAAGGTTCTGGATCTGCATGACAACAAGCTGACTTCCCTCCCAGAAGACATTGGGAAGCTGGCGTCACTGCAGGTAAAGCATTACTGTAATTGGGGGGGGGGGGGGGTGTGTGAATGAATGCTTCTCATCAACCCTGTGTTTTCATTGTGCTTCCTGTCAGATTCTGAATGTGGAGAAGAACCGTCTGAAGGCCCTGCCTGAGAGCATCGGGGAGCTGAGGCTTCTGCAGACACTCAATCTGAAAGGTATGAGTTTTACTGCTGTCTGAATACTCTCAAGAATAAGAGGATGTGTACAATATGTCCCTATACCTCTGTGTCTGTACAGGTAACTCTCTGAGTGAGCTGCCGTCCACCGTTGGTTCTTTGAGAAGCTTACGCACTCTGGACCTGAGCGACAACAACATCGTGCAGCTGCCCAAAGCTCTCGTCTACATCCGCACTCTAGAGGTGTGTTTCTTGGTATTCCAACTTACAGGAATACAACGAATGCTGATGACTAAGATGTGTTAAAAACCGTGTGTGTGTGTGTGTGTGTGTGTGTGTGTGTGTGTGTGTGTGTGTGTGTGTGTGTGTGTGTGTGTGTGTGTGTGTGTGTGTGTGTGTGTGTGTGTGTGTGTGTGTGTGTGTGTGTGTGTGTGTGTGTGTGTGTGTGTGTGTGTGTGTGTAGTACGTGTGTGTGTGTGTTGTGTGTGTGTGTTAGATGTGCCTTGATGTGCAATATTGGGTGGTGTGTGTGTGATGTGTAGCTGATGCATATCAATGTGTGTGGTGTATGTGTGGGTGTGTGTAGTGTGTGTGTGTGTGTGGTCGTGTTGTGTGTGTGTGTGTCAGTGTGTGTGTGTGTGATGGGTGTGTGTGTTTGTGTGTGTGTGTGTGTGTGGGTGGGTTGTTTGTGTGTGTGTGTGTGTGTGTGTGTGTGTGTGTGTGTGTGGTGACAGAGCTTCACACTGGACACTGCCACCATGACCTACCCTCCTGCCTCTGTGTGTACGGAGGGAACGGAGAGCATCCAGCGCTTCCTATGCTCTGGTGAGACACACACACACTCACACACACACACACACACACACACTCACTCACACACACACACACACACATAGATACTGTCATGTTCAAAATTCCTCTTCGGACCAGGCGATAACGTTATAATAAAACTGATTTATTTCAGTTGTGATAAGGAATACAAATGCTCAGCTGAGGTTTCTGGAGATCCGTGTTCCACAGCAGTTTCCAGTCCAAGCAGTTAACTGTCTCCCACTTCCTTCCAGAGCCCTGAACCTCGTACATCTTGATTCCACAGGGCGTTGCCCGTACATTTATGATTGGTCGAGACTAGCTGAAGAGATACCGTGGTTTAGACTTGGTTCTCTTTGGTTGGTGCACAGACTTAGAAAAAAGTCTCTTGGCAACACGATCCTCCAGTCAACCTTCGGCCGGCTGGCGAAGTCCCTCCCTACTCTGTCTCTATTCTCGTCATTTGTTTTCGCTAACGTTTCTACAGAAATTAAAAACATTAACTGGAGCCAAATGTTATCAGGTACAGATGTGGATACCAACACACATGCCCTTATGTCAACAATCCAAAATATATCAAAACGATTCCTCAGGATAAGCGAATCTCAGACCAAAAATAAACACACCCTCCCCTGGATTAATAGTGACATCAGGAAATCAATGAAGGAGAGAGATAATGCTCTAAAGCACTCTCTTAAGTCAAATTTAGTGACTTACAGGCATATATTTATGTCCTTACGAAACAGAGTTACAAAGGAAATCAGGGCAGCTAAATCCAACTTCTTTGTTAATCTCATTCATGAATCTAAGGGAAATCATAAACAAATCTGGGACTGTCTGCAGAACCTAACAGGGAAAGGGCATAACATAACAAAGCATGCTGGAGATCAGTAACAATGGAACCTTATGTAAGGAGCCAGCAGAAATAGCGGCTATTTTTAATAACCATTTTATTAATTCTGTGAGGCTGACTATAAACAGTCCCCAAATTGGTCAAATACATTCATCACCTATTGATTGTACACAGCCAGTCTTCTCACTGACAGAGACTTCTGAATCAAAAGTTAATTCTATCATTTCTTCTTTAAACAATTCCAAATCAAAAGACACTTTTGGACTGGATTCTCTGTTTCTAAAGACACATGCTACTACCCTCACAGGGACAATTACCAACATAATTAACACCTCTTTTAGGGAGGGAACATTCCCAAAAGACTGGAAGTTAGCCATTGTTGTGCCAGTCCACAAATCCGGGACACAACTGATGCAAACAACCATAGGCCCATTAGTATTTTACCTGTCATGTCTAAGATCTCTGAGAAATGTGTAGCTGAGCAATTGACTGGACATCTTAACAGTAGTCCTTTCACACTACACCCCATGCAATTCGGCTTCCGAGCCAATCATTCCACTGAGACCGCAAATTGTTTCCTTGTGGAAAATATTAAATAAAAAATGGACAAAGGAGGCATTGTTGGAGCAATCTTCTTAGATCTTAAGAAAGCTTTTGATACAGTCAATCATCAAGTACTCATTCACAAAATGTCTTATTTTAATTTCTCACCCAGTGCAATAGACTGGATGAGCTCCTATCTGTCAGACAGAGTTCAGTGTGTAAGGGTAAGTGGCGAGACATCACCACCCCTGAGGAATGAACCCCAGGGATCTATCCTGGGCCCAATTCTATTCAGCCTTTATATAAATGACTTGCCATCAGTGTGCACTGGATGTGAGGTGCAAATGTACGCTGATGACACTGTCATTTATGTCCATGCAAAAACCAAGGCCCAAGCTGCGGCCAAATTAAATGATGCAATGGTTCATGTAAATCAATGGCTTACTGACTCACAGCTATATCTGAATGTTAAGAAGACAGTCTGTATGTTTGTTAGCAAGACCAACACTGTATCACACTGAACTCAAGGTCTATGTGTCTATGGGTCATTCAAACAGTTACACATTTCAAATATAGGCATTATCCTTGACACTACTTTATCCTTCAAAAAACAAGTGAGAAAGGTAACGCAAATAACTAAATACAATTTAGCAAACTTTAGATATATAAGGAACTGCTTGACAACACCTGTAGCAAAACTCTATATGACTGCCATGATCCTTCCCCACCTAGCATACTGTATGAGCAGCTGGACCCCGGCGAATAGCACAACATTAAGGCCTATGCTATCACTTCACAAACAAGCTCTCAAAGTGTTGGACAGAAAACCAAAGCTATACCACCATTGCAAAATCCTGGACAAACATAACCTGCTCAGCTGGGGAAATATTTTAAAACACACTGATGTCTCATTTTTAAAATTCTAAACGGCAAGGCACCCCCACAACCGCTCTGCACTTTTATACAGCAGAACCACAAGGTCTGCCCTAAGAGGGGACTGTGTAGCCCCTCTTAGGTCCAGTTCCTTTGGTAAACAGTGTTTCTCTGTGAGGGCATCAACACTCTGGAACACAACACCAATGCAGATAAGGAATAACACCTCCTATCATACATTTAACCGCAACCATAAGAACTGGCTTTTAAACAATCAAAAATGTGAACACTTTTAACTGCATCAAGGTATGATGGTATTTCATCTGTTTGCATGTGTGTTTGTTCCTCTCTATTGGTGTACTGCTGTTGTCTGCTGTACTCTATTTAATTATGTTTTTATTTTCTAGTCTTGTTGTGGTCATTTAACATCTTGCCAAGGACAACAGTTGAAAATTAGCCTGCTGGCTAATACTGGCTCATTTACAGCAATGTGGATTAATGTGCACTGACCTTTAAATAAATAAACACATATAGTGGAATCTTGGTTACACTGATTCCTAGTGCGTAGCAGCGAAGCTCGCCCAGGCGGCCAAGGCCATAGCCTCAATAACTCATTGTTTCTCCAGTGCCTGCACCTGGCTTCTGCTACTTTGTATTGCAAGCTAAAACGTTCTTGCTATGACTTTTCCCTTCGCTCCTCTCCAACCCATCAAGACTTGGGGTTGTGTCTGTTTATTCCAAAATCATAGCAACATCTCATGAGCACAAATAATGTAATACTAAGAATCAGTCTTTCTAATGTTATATACAAATAGCCTCCACACACACACACACACACACACACACACACACACACACACACACACACACACACACACACACACACACACACACACACACACACACACACACACACACCATGTATACATCACTTCAGGGGACATTACATTTACTTACATGCATTTCCTGGAGACTTATCCTAACCTTAACCATAACCAACACATGCCTAACCCTAACCCTAAACCTAACCAAGTCTTCACACTAAAATTAATGATTCCCCTCATGGGGACCTCCAATTTGTCCCCATAAGGGAAGCCAGTCCCCACACGTGACTATGTAAACAGATTTAGGTCCCCACAAGTATAGCAATGCTAGACCACACACACACACACACACACACACACACACACACACACACACACACACACACACACACACACACACACACACACACACACACACACACACACACACACACACACACACACACACAGGGTTTAATATGCATCCGCACCAACAAGGATTACTTTAACTCAGCTAAATGGTATCGGATAACAATTTTGTTTAAGACAATATCACTGGTTTTAATTTTGTTGCAGAAATATTAAGTTATATTTAATAAATCTCAGAAAACAGAAGGCTCTTTTCAGTAGTTTGTCTTGCACTCGTCTGGCAGAATGGATATGAATAAATCCAACAGGCACCTCACTCATATAAATGCATTCTGAATGCTATTGTCTTCCATACCCTGTGCCACTCTGAGATTAAGATGAACCTTTAGGAACCCCAGGGGGGAATTCAGGTCTTAACGTCTAAAACAGTGTTTGACTCTCCATACTGTGTCCCTGCTCAGTGATATCTACGCAGCACAGAGCGGCCACAGAAAGTAAAGCCACTTTTATGTGTCACCCAATGCTATGTCATAGTTGTCATGTATGTCTTTAGAGGGACACAAAACTAAAGCAACACCTAACTGGCTTCAACAAGTATACATATCAGAGCAATCATTCCATGAGCTGTGGGTTTGAATGACTCCAGAGCATTAAGTGGGAGTAAGAAGGCTGAATGATGGTATTTATCTGCTGAGATATTCGACTGCATAAGATACTAATGTTTGATTTCTTCCTTGACTTGTTTTCAGAGCTGGGAGAGGAGTACTGCCCCCCCTCCCAGTACCTGCTGCCAGTGCTGGAGAGTGAGTGCAGCACACAGTCCGACTGTGTGGACGCTCTGGACGAGGCCTGGAAGGTACAGTAATCACACACTCACACGTTAACACACTCACACATTAACACACACTCACACACACTAACACACTCTCACATGTTAACACACTCACACACTAACACACTCACACACTCCGACTGTGTGGACACTCTGGACGAGTTCTGGAAGGTACAGTAATCACACACTCACACGTTAACACACTCACACATTAAAACACACTCACACGTTAACACACTCACACACTCACACATTAAAACACACACACACACTAACTCACACACTCACATGTTAACACACTCACACATTAAAACACACACACACACACTAACACACACTCACACACTCACATGTTAACACACTCACACACTCACACACACTCACACACTAACACACTAACACACACTAACACACAGTGGTGTAGTGGGGATTTTTTTACTGGGTGGACGGGGTGGGTGGACGGGGTGGGTGGACGGGAGACACTATGGACGCGCTCGTGAACTGTCAACAGGGGGGGGGGGTACACTGTGGACCTCTGTGTCGCCTGTCAGCTCAACATGATGCCGTTTAGACAATATAATAATAAAGGGCGGTGCCGGCTGTCAGCGAACCGATCCGGTCTTTCTTCGCGACTGTCACTCAAATGCGGGACATAGTCTCAATTTGTGGGACGCGGGACAAATAACCTAATAAAAACGCACAGTGCGGGACACCTGGTCACCCTACACACACACACACACACACACACACACACACACACACACACACACACACACACACGGTTCAAATTAAGTTGCATAAATGCTTGAGCTACGTTTTTATTATAATTACTGTGAAATCTGCTTATTATGCTTTCGTCATTATTACAATAAATACTCACTTGCAACTGATAACACTGGCAATGGGTTTATATTTATTATACTATTAAAAAAAACAAATCATGCTTCAGATCAGCGGGGGGACGGCGTACCCCCGCGTCCAACGCCCACTACACCACTGCTAACACACACGTACAGGAGGAGAGAGGCAGTCTTTTCATGCAAAGTGCTGTTCACTTGGACCTAGTTGGCTAGTTAGCTGCTTGCACTGTATTGACTATGTGTGTTAAAGCATATTTCATCATTTCTGTTACAGAGCAAATTCAACGACTACGAGAAGAGAAAGGTAGGAACACACTGTTAGATTCAGACTCTCGCAGCTGTTTCATTGGTAACGGATAACAACTAACTGCACTTCCCCTCAGTTCAGGGTTTGTTTAGCTTTATTTAGCTAACTGTTTTGGTGTGCAGCTGCTGCTTCTATTATACAGTTAAGTTCACTCTTATATGGAGACGTTTTGGTGGTAGTAGCTGCATTGCTGGCTTGTAGCAAAGCTCAGATGTTGACACTGTTCACATACAGAACATAAGACCTCCACTGTGACCGTCCCGTTGTCTGCAGGAGCAGAAGCAGCAGGAGAAGCTGGCCTTTGAGTGGCAGCTGGAGGAGAAGAAGAAGGAGCACACCCAGATTATGCTCATGAACAACTCCCGCAAGGAAAACATCCTCATCTCAGTCCGGCAGGTAAACAGCCGGCTCACTCACCACGTCCTTTCCAAAGTCTCTTTTCCTTTAACATTACATAGATATGCCTTTTTGATCCTGAACATGGAAATGGTTTTGTCACAGCAACATGTTAGGAAGGCATTGCACATGAGTAAGAACAATATTAAATACAATCTACTACTAGGAACATGTATATACACATAGGATGCTATATAATAATAATAATAGATTTAATTTGTTAGCGCTTTTACAGGTGCTCAAAGACGCTTAAATATACATTATACACATGCTATAAAATGTAAATACAGTGAGGTAGTGTAAGTACACTTATGTGCACATTGTTAAGGGTTATTGAAAGGGAGTCCGGTAAATAAAAAGAAACGATGAAGCTAAAGAAGTTAGAAACTGTTTTCAGCTCCATTAATGTGTGTGTGTGTGTGTGTGTGTGTGTGCTTCTCTTGGACTTAAAATCACACTGTTATTGTTAATTTGTAAATTCAACATGTATCTTTTCTACTTTGTTTATTTCTAGTCTTTTACATTTGTATTGTACAAAGCCATGTCTTTTTATGCTGCTGCAACACCAACATTTCCCAAATTGGGATCAATAAAGTACTGTGTGTGTGTGTGTGTGTGTGTGTGTGTGTGTGTGTGTGTGTGTGTGTGTGTGTGTTGTGTGTGTGTGTGTGTGTGTGTGTGTGTGTGTGTGTGTGTGTGTGTGTGTGTGTGTGTGTGTGTGTGTGTGTGTGTGTGTGTGTGTGTGTGTGTGTGTGTGTGTGTGTGTGTGTGTGTGTGTGTGTGGTGTGTGTGTGTGTGTGTGTGTGTGTGTGTGTGTGTGTGTGTGTGTGTGTGTGTGTGTGTGTGTGTGTGTGTGTGTGTGTGTGTGTGGTGTGTGTGTGTGTGTGTGTGTGTGTGTGTGTGTGTGTGTGTGTGTGTGTGTGTGTGTGTGTGTGTGTGTGTGTGTGTGTGTGTGTGTGTGTGTGTGTGTGTGTGTGTGATGTCCAGGAGCAGGAGCGTCTTGAGCTGGGCGTCAGCCAGCAGCAGAGGTCTCAGGAGGCCGAGAGGCTGCTGGTTCTGGAGAGAGTCCGACAGGCTGAGGACGGCATCAGCAGCCGCATCAGCACCATGCTGATGGACAAGAGCAGGTGGGCACTAAGCCATTAACCATGGAGGGTTCGTGTTGTAAAAAGTCACTTATTGGATTCTCTCTGCGTGTCCACAGACGAGTCTCTGCTAACTGCACTGAATTTAGTTTTTGTATCTTTCCAGGCTGAAAAAGAGTGCAGAGTTTCTTCAAGCTATGGAGGAGGATCGGTGAGTGGAGAGACCACTGATGCGTTATCTATAACAGCAAGAGATCCGAGGCACTCTAACTCTCTCTCTATCTATAGAGCACTTTGCAAGGAAGATGCACAAAGACACAGGAGGCCTTAAAAACGTTGACACAGCATGCAGTCGTGGAAAAATGAATGAAAACCATCAATACTTATCATTATTATTATGTTATGTGTGTCTCATAATCTTTCTCTAGCTCCTAACTGTCAGGTCTTTACTTGTGGAAAAGTTTTAAAAAGCCTCTGTGGTCTTACCTAATATTTGAAATGGTGTTACAACAAAGCTGGAAGGTATTAAAACAGAAATACAGCTCCTCTCCACAGAGGCAGTTTCTCCAGGTTACTCAGGTGGAGGAAAGATGTCAGGAAGCAAAAGCCTCTGTACCCGGTGACGCCACAGATGGCCCGAGGGATGCAGCCGCACTGTGTACCTTTTGACTGATGCATATTTGTGGTTAGTTAAAGTTAGGTATCGGGTAGATTCCCTGATGTGGGTAAACACTTTGTATCTGCACTCCTGCACCACTTCAACTGCAACTAAAGGGAGCCCCTACAGAGAAAGATCCATTATCCTAAGTGTTAAAAGCCATGGCTGCTATAAAAACTGATCAAATGTTCCCCTTCAGGATCCGTTCGGAGCATCTGACGGCCATCACACAGGAAGAAACCAACTCCCTGAGGAAGAGGGAGGTGGCAGGTGAGCAGCCGCAAACCATGAACCAACACAGATGTACTTTAACCTTAACACACGTCTAGTTGTATACGTGTAAAACATTGATTTTCTGTTGGCCATCAACACTTTGGTCCAGAACACGCTATGTTGACAATTATTTTCTGACTGCAAAGAAATATACTGTAACACTTGATGGCCCCAAGATGAAGATTGTTGTGAACCCCCCCTATATTTAATGTCACTGCTATCGGGACACAATTCATTCAGGTATATAGTGTCCCGTTTGCATTCATGCTTCCAGAGGTTCAACCCTTTCAGTTTCTCTGCTGCCCCCCCTTCATGTCAAGTCAAAGATATCATAAGCAGATTGTCTTTGCAATTGCTGAGCACATGAATGCTCTCTAAGGGTTATGTTTTGAATGCTATTACATCTGTATTACGGGATGTTGTTCAATTCATTCTGTCACATTTCCTTTGCCTCTCTCCCCTCCCTGTGTTCAGTGGCCATGCAGAAGATGCTGTCGGAAAGCTGTATGATGAGCATCCTCCAGGAGGCCAGTGACTTCCGCAGGAGGAGCCTGGTCAATGAGGCCCACAGAAGGTCACACACACACACACACACACACACACACACACACACACACACACACACACACACACACACACACACACACACACACACACACACCAGTGGTGAACCGTCAGGGCCTTCAAGGTGTTCAGAGATACCCTGGAACTCTCAGATAAAACAAACACAAAATCGATTTAATTATATAAATAAAATGTAGTAAAATGAATAAATGAGAATGGTATCCGTGTCATTGATCTGTAATATTACAGTGTCACGTTGATTTGTTTCTCCTTCTCGGACCATGCACTACGCATTTCAGTGGTTTTGTGTTAGAAAAGAAAGCAACCAATCAGATCTTGTTCTGGGTCTCTGGGTAGAAAATCCTTCACCAAGGTATTCTACATCCTTGATCGAAGCGGCCGTTGCACTGAATGAGAGCGTATGTTTGGACTGACAGTTTGATCAACCAATCATATATTGATTTGTAGCCAATGGGCGTGTTCTTCCAGAGTTCCCCTCGGTTCCAGGGTATTCTAGAAGGCCCGCTCGTTAACTGGAGAGAGACAGAGGATCTAGAATGCGACGAAGCAATTCATGCCGTTTTATTGTATTTAACGTTGAAATGACAAGAGCAACAGGTGAAGAGGAAGTTGTTGCGGAATTGTTGTGAGTACCCTTTTCAAGACGACAATTTAGTGAAAAGACGGACATTATAACGCGGGGGTGGGTGTGTGTGTGTCTACAGAAGGTCCAGTTGTGATAGACACGGTTCGCCACTGACACACACACACACACACACACCATGTTAACTTTGCAAATGTGTGTGGACACTACAAATGACAGCTGTGAAACACGTTGTGTCCCATGGTTTTACCACAGTATGGAGAGCTTGGAAAGGAAGTTCGATAAAGTGCTTTCCCTCCAAGTTTTGGACAAATCTAAAGCCATCGCTCACATCTTACAGGAGGTATGTGTGTCTTCTGAGTTTGCCACCAGTCTCATGTAACAGTGTGAACCTAAATCAGACCTTTTTGAACAACCATGTTGAACTGTCATGTCCTCTGGTTGGTCTCTGGTTGCAGGAGGAGATGCAGAAAGCAGCGTTCCAGGCCCTGCAGCTGCAGAAAGATGCCGTTCACGGTTACATCCGCAACCAGGTCTGTGTGGAGGGGCAGAAAGAAGGGGGGGGGGGGGGGTCAAACCTGTCTCTGGTCTCCGAGTACTTTATAACACGGACAGAAAGCAGCTCACCTTCACATGGAAAGCTGTACAGAAGAGAGCTCGTGATTTTGTACAATCTAAAACTAGTATCACAACTTCAACAAGACTTCATAATTTTCAAGACATCCAGTTTTTTTTAATATCATTTTATATTAACCTTTTTGACGTTATACCATAACTAAAGCCACTTAAGAAAGGAAGACTGTAGTTCAATAAAGAACTACCTAATGTGGTATTATGCATGAGTTTTGATTATCTATAGATTCTGTATCTACGCCATCTGCTACGAAGAAATAGGGCGCAGAATTTGAACTTTTGGATCTATACAACCTGTAAGGGAAACTTCTGCAGCAATGGAGAGTCAGGACTCAGAGAGACACGAGGAGCGTTGGAGCTTTGATGTCAAACACTGGTGTTTTATTACAAGTATCGGCCGGAGAATTTCACATCACAAGTCACAGCAGCCAGAGGTTCTGACTGCCCGGATGGGTTGCCACGTCAATTCTGCTGCGCCTCTCTCTCGATAGACCTTTTAACTAGTTTACAGAGAGTTAATCAACATATTGGGGAGATAATCTAAACAGCTGGGCCCCCTGAATCACTTGCGTCTGACCCTTAATGGCCTCGAAGCCAGCGTTCTCACCCATAAACCATTTGTGACCCAGAGTTGACCGGTCATAGACTGAGAAATATACATGACTGCATGAGCACATTCCTTACGGGAGGTAACAGAGCCAGGGTTGGTCATAAACGTCAAAGGGCAAAAGGTTAAATATCTAAAGACAGAAATATTCCCTCACGCAATCCAAATGTACAATCTTTAGTTATTGAGAGACGTCTACATCTCACCAACAGCAGGGCAAGAATGAGCTGAAACTCTGAAAGCTGGTCAACATCATTTTTTAATAATATTTACATGAATTATGTGACTGCCTATGTTTCCTGTAGTTATTGAACTGCACTGTTAGTGTACAGTTTTATTATTATGCTACTTTTTGTATTTGTGTAACTCTGTCACAACAACTTCCTTCGGGATAAATAATGTCTTCTCTTATCTTATAACACTGCTATAATCTTTACATCTAATGTCAGCCTGTAGTGACCTCTAACAGTCTCAGTTAGCTGTGGCACAGTTTATTTATACATGTCATTTATTTCCCCTTTCTCTCGTGTCATCCGCAGCCCGTCCATAGCTAACCCCTCTTTACTCCTACTGGCTTCATTTATTTGACTTTTTGGTTAAACCCCGTGTAATTTTACCTGCAGATAGACACTCATTTCATGCAGGTTTCAGGCTGACCTTGCGTTCTCCCTGCTGGCTTCATGTCTGCTTCTCCACTGTCCCCAGATCAAGCTCATAGAGACTGAGTTAAAGCAGCTGACTAGGTTGGAGATTAAAAGGCGTACTCTGGATGCTGAGAACCTGCAGGTGGGTGTCACGCCTTCTCTCACTGCCTTCACACATCTACCTGATTTCTCCCTTTTCGATAACCATATTATTTATTCATGTCATTGCTCCATTGAGCCATAATCATTGTTATACAAGAGCCAGGCTTTATCTACAGCTCAACACATTCATATTCAAACACTTTGAGCACCAGGAGAAGCACTATATGATTAACATATATTGTTATTATTATTATTATTATTATTGTTCTGTGTGTGCAGGAGGTTCTGGTGGAGCAGAGGACCGCTCTGAGTGATCTGCTGCAGCAGCTTCTGAAGCAGAAGGAGCAGAGAGAGCAGGAGCTGCGGCAGGTTCTGGTGAGGACTTCTCTTAGCTCTCATGCTATCAGATAATGAAGGCTTACTGTTTAAACAACAGGCCGAACAACGACCCTAAGCTGTGATATTATCACATGTCACAGGCTGAAGTGAGCTTTCATGCATATTGTTAGAAAAATCTCCCTGGTCTCCGGCTTGAGCTTCAACCTCAGGATCCATGTATCTGTGATCCTCTCCAGAATGGAAGTAGTCATCACATACAGAGCATCTACTAGTTCCTGAACAGTGTCCTTCACATGCTGATATCCAAGAGAGGGAGAGAGACTTGTTGTCTCAAAATGTTGGCTTTTTTCTCAAAATCTCAAAATTTTGACTTTTTCTCAAAATCCTGACTTTTTCTCAAAATTATGTATTTTTTTCTCCGCAATTCTGACTTTTTCTAAAAATCTCAAAATTATGTATTTTTCTCCAAATCTCAAAATTCTGACTTATTCTCAAAATCTCAAAATTCAGAATTTCTCTCAAAATCTCAAAATTCGGACTTTCAAAAAATTCAGATTTTTTTCAAAAAATCTCAAAATTATGTTTTTTTTCTCAAAATTCTGACTTTCTCTCAAAATCCTGTATTTTTCACAAAATTGTCGTTTTTCTCAAAATCCTGACTTTTTAACTCAAATCTCAAACAGTGTCCTTCACATGCTGATATCCAAGAGAGGGAGTCACACAGTCACAAGATGGAGGAATAGAAAGCAGTTCAATGTTTACTTCAGATTAGCTCCACGTCAGAAATGAGCATGCTTGATGTCTCTCTCCATAGAGGCCGAATCATCATGTTAATCACATAGCTATCATCTGCCTCAAACAGTCCTGATGCTCTTCTAGGTAATCACACATCCTGTCATGTTCACAGCTACAGTTGGGATACCTTTGTTATCATGTGACTCTCATGTTGGAAGAGGACATTCAGTATTTTCCCAACATATATATATAATAGACATCAAGTATGGACTCTTGAAGTAATAGACACATTCTAATTGTAATAGTTGATTCATAAATAACAATCAAAAGGAGCCTTCTTGGCTAATGAGGTTGTTGCTATTAAACGTACACACAAGCAGCTAGCATCATAATAAATGTTAAAATAACTGACGCTCTCTTCTGTGGGGTATCTCTATTGCTTTGTAAGGGTAAACCCCAGCTCGGTTCAATAATACCAGAATCCAGTGAACAAAGATAACAGTACTCATGTTTCAAGTTTACTTGCTGCAAGGAGAGTCAGCGAGTGACATGCCATGTCAACTCCTTAACCAACTCCCAGCTAGGAGAATCAGCGAGTGACATATGCCATGTCCACTCCTTAACCAACTCTCAGCTAGGAGAACCAACTCTCAGCTAGGAGAACCAACTCTCAGCTAGGAGAACCAACTCTCAGCTAGGAGAACCAACTCTCAGCTAGGAGAACCAACTCTCAGCTAGGAGAACCAACTCTCAGCTAGGAGAATCAACTCTCAGCTAGGAGAACCAACTCTCAGCTAGGAGAACCAACTCTCAGCTAGGAGAACCAACTCTCAGCTAGGAGAACCAACTCTCAGCTAGGAGAACCAACTCTCAGCTAGGAGAATCAACTCTCAGCTAGGAGAATCAACTCTCAGCTAGGAGAATCAACTCTCAGCTAGGAGAATCAACTCTCAGCTAGGGAGAATCAACTCTCAGCTAGGAGAATCAACTCTCAGCTAGGAGAAGCCAACTCTCAGCTAGGAGAACCAACTCTCAGCTAGGAGAACCAACTCTCAGCTAGGAGAACCAACTCTCAGCTAGGAGAACCAACTCTCAGCTAGGAGAACCAACTCTCAGCTAGGAGAACCAACTCTCAGCTAGGAGAATCAACTCTCAGCTAGGAGAATCAACTCTCAGCTAGGAGAACCAACTCTCAGCTAGGAGAACCAACTCTCAGCTAGGAGAATCAACTCTCAGCTAGGAGAATCAACTCTCAGCTAGGAGAACCAACTCTCAGCTAGGAGAACCAACTCTCAGCTAGGAGAACCAACTCTCAGCTAGGAGACCAACTCTCAGCTAGGAGAACCAACTCTCAGCTAGGAGAATCAACTCTCAGCTAGGAGAACCAACTCTCAGCTAGGAGAACCAACTCTCAGCTAGGAGAATCAACTCTCAGCTAGGAGAACCAACTCTCAGCTAGGAGAATCAACTCTCAGCTAGGAGAACCAACTCTCAGCTAGGAGAACCAACTCTCAGCTAGGAGAACCAACTCTCAGCTAGGAGAACCAACTCTCAGCTAGGAGAACCCAACTCTCAGCTAGGAGAACCAACTCTCAGCTAGGAGAGCCAACTCTCAGCTAGGAGAACCAACTCTCAGCTAGGAGAGCCAACTCTCAGCTAGGAGAGCCAACTCTCAGCTAGGAGAACCAACTCTCAGCTAGGAGAACCAACTCTCAGCTAGGAGAACCAACTCTCAGCTAGGAGAACCAACTCTCAGCTAGGAGAACCAACTCTCAGCTAGGAGAGCCAACTCTCAGCTAGGAGAGCCAACTCTCAGCTAGGAGAGCCAACTCTCAGCTAGGAGAACCAACTCTCAGCTAGGAGAGCCAACTCTCAGCTAGGAGAACCAACTCTCAGCTAGGAGAACCAACTCTCAGCTAGGAGAGCCAACTCTCAGCTAGGAGAACCAACTCTCAGCTAGGAGAATCCACTCTCACCAACTCTCTCAGTGCAGTCTTTTTATTTCAACAAACAGTAACATGAGACAATCATGTGGTCTTGACCAACGCCTTATTTGTTAGTGTGGATCTTGTGACTGTCAGTCATGTGAATCTGTGTGTGTGTGTATGTGTGCCATTTTAAACAGACTCTTCTTTGTTCCTCCATTAACACTCCTTGTAACACAGCAATGAGAATACATTATGAAAACACAGTTTATGAAAACACTTTTATCCTTCAATAAACTCTAACACTTCCTTCATCACTCATTCATCCTTACACACCTACACCTGCCCTTTTAGTTTGCTTCACGGTTATCTGTTCATTTGTTTTTCGAAGGCCGTCAACCTCCTCTTCACTTTGCTCTGCGTGTCGTTTGACAGGTGGATATTTCTTCGGAGACAGTCAATGCTCACTCCATTCCTTTATAGAAGTTAACATTTCCTGTTATGTCGCAGACGACAAGTATTAATTCATTAGTCTACGTTTGTCTTTTCAAAAAACAGGGAATGATACTGAATTGTGCAAAGTAGCAGGAGTCGTAGCTAGAGAGGGGTATCGGTAAGGTTTTAACGGTACTACTACTTTTATCGATACCGCTTATCGGTCCGGTCTTTTAACGGTACTCTCATCGGTTCTTTAGGAGAACAAAATAAGGTAAACTAACTAAACACATTGTGAACAAAACTAACATTGTTTTTTATTTAAATTAAATAAATAATATTTCACATCAAAAGAAACAACAATGTTTTAACAAATCATATTAAATCATCTGATGACAGAACAGCTGAAACTTTAACTAAATAAATAACTCAGTTTCCTCTAATCATTAACCCGTGTTTGTATAATGTAGTTAACTCCGTGTGTTGCTGCTAGCATACATAACACCTGACGTGGAAACGTTACTCGTGGATGGGGCTACAGAGCTGCTAGAGAGACGGTCGAACCCGGTGCATTCCTCCGTCTGGATGTGGAGCGCTTTTGATAAATGTTTAGACAAACTGCTCGTGTTGCCGCCCTCACATGCTGAACTCTTATTGCACTTTAGGTAACGAGCATCGAGACAGGTAACGTTTAACCACACCTCGGAGCGCGTTCTGTGTGTGTGTGTGTGTGTGTGGCCTAGCATTACTATACTTGTGGGGACCTAAATCTGTCTACACAGTCACGTGTGGGGACTCGCCTGCCTTATGCCTTACGTGTGGGGACTCGCCTGACAAATTGGAGGTCCCCATGAGGGGAATCATTAATTTTGGTGTGTGTGTGTGTGTGTGTGTGTGTGTGTGTGTGTGTGTGTGTGTGTGTGTGTGTGTGTGTGTGTGTGTGTGTGTGTGTGTTGTGTGTGTGTGTGTGTGTGTGTGTGGTGTGTGTGTGTGTGTTGTGTGTGTGTGTGTGTGTGTGTGTGTGTGTGTGTGTGTGTGTGTGTGTGTGTGTGTGTGTGTGTGTGTGTGTGTGTGTGTGTGTGGGTGTGTGTGTGTGTGTGTGTGTGTGTAAACTGCCCCGCCCCCTCGCACACAGACGGGGGAGAGAGATGCATTTTGCAGTCTTTTGGAATATTAGAAACGGAGTTGGTGAAACTAAAACTGCAATATAATGTTTGTGTAGCAATAATGGCAATATGACATATATTTTGTAAATGTCTCCAGTACCGATAAAAATACCGATAACGTCGGAGCTTAACGGTACCACGGTCTTTAATAATTCAGCCCCGGGGCTCCTTTAATACCGGGGCTCGGTACCCATCCCTAGTCGTAGCCGCTGTATTTTGTTATTATATCACGGCTATGAACATATTATCAGATGGCTTGATTTGGTCTACCTCGTTTCTTTTTCATTCCGGGGTCAACGGGTTAATAAATAAGATCACTTTGTGTTTCCAGGCGGAGATGGAGCGTAAATCAGCGTCCAACCAGCAGAACTACTGGATGATCCAGTACCAGAGGCTGCTGGACGCTAAGCCGCTGTCACTACGCATGCAGGTACTGTACAGAACACACACTCACAGAACCCTCTGGCACCACGCGGGCTGTTGTTAAAGCCTGATGTCATTGCAGGAAGCGGGCGTGGAGAAAGAGTTGGTCAACCTGCTGTGCAAACTGTCCGCTCAGCACTACCTGCCCATCATGGCTCACCATCGAGTGACGACTGAGCGCCTGAGGCACATGACCGCCTCTGACCTCAAGAAGGTGTGCCTGCAGAAAGAACACTTAGCCTTTGCAGACCATTTACATGCACACACATCCTTTTATAAGACACTACAGGAGAGGGACAACTAAGGAAAAGCAGAACAGGGCTTTGAATCGTACCGATCGATTAAATGACTACATGCTGTATATAGGAAAAGGGTTAGTAATCGGCTGTTCCCTTCAGCGTTATTCAGATCAGGGTTTTTGTTTTCTGCTTTGGTTCACTTGAGTGCAAGCTCTTAAAACCGACTGTACACTGCCTGCCCTCTGGACCTGTTGCTCAGTAACTGCTGGTTGTATAAATAGGTAACCTAGCCCTTATCCATCCATTAGCCGTATCAGTTTAAAAGGTGAATTATGTCGGTGTGTGCTGCATCACTCATTTCTCTGTTTTCAGCTTGGTATTAGTGAGATAGGAATCCAGAAGGCTCTTCTGAACTGGACCCGGGAACGCCACCCTGAAGGTAAACATCCTGTGTTTCTATACATTATACAAAGAAGTGT